TGATGAAAAATTTATAAAAGATTCTATAGAAAATATACAAGAACCTACTGAATGGAAATGGAAAAATCCTTATAGTATTTCCGATTTTGATAGGTCGAAGTATTGTCGACACAACTTTGCAGGTAAATGTTATAAAATTTAATCACAACTTTTATTAAAAAAAACAAATATGTCAATGTATTAAATATTAAATTTATTTTTTTTTAAAGAAAATGATTTTACTACGAATTTATTACGTGATTTGTGTGACAAAGACAGTCGTTTCAAAGTTCCTTCAAAAATTGATAACAACAAAAATATTTTGTATAATTTTCGTGAATATTTGGTCAATTATCAAGCATCTTGTGGTATTCCACGAACAGAATATTCTTTTCTGGCTCTTATTAGTATGATGGGTCGAGCAACAGGTCGATCTCTTCTTGCATTATTGTATGTCATGTTGAACATTATACCTGTTATGGAGGTATTATCTAATAATTGAATTATTATAAATTTTTTTATATTGAATTTGATTAATTGCACTGCTCAAAATAATTAAAAGTATGTCTTCTTAAACATTTTTCCTAGTATTAAATAATATATTGTACTTATATTTTTTTTCTTATAAACTATTTTATACTTTTATTTTATTTTATCTTAATTATTTTGAGTGGTATATGATAAATCTTCACAATTTATTAATAGTTTTTCATGAATTTTTCATTTCAATAAATGATTATATCATAACTAATGAGTTATGTACATATGTACATTCTAAATTATAAAATTAAATACTTTTTAATTTCAAAAATAATAAAAAAAAATCCAATATTTAAAAAAAAAAGTATTCAAAAATTTGTAATGCTTTTTTTACAATTATTTGTAAATTTTTAATATATATTTAAATATTTATAAAATATTTAATACTTAAACATATATGTATAAATGATAAAAACGATAAAATCACATTTTCTAGGTATTCCTATATTTATTGCGATTTGTTCTGGACAAAGTTATTAGCATAAACAACTGTAAGGACTTCCGGCAAATGATGACTCAATGTGTAATATTTATAACAGAATTATTCAGTGTTTACATATGTCTATTATTTATATTCGGTTTTATTATCTTACCGATTGTACACATAGTATTTGACATAGTAGCAAAGATTATGTTTTATTATTAAAGGCAAATAATATTTACGTATAATTGAATGATTACAAACTATAATTATTGAGAATTGTTTATACATGTATAATTAAAAAATTTTCATTATATTATCTTTAGATCAAACTTAGTTTTATTTTCTAACTTATTGTTATCAAAATCTTGTAAAGAATATCATATGTATGTATTCTTTGAAATTTTTATATTCATATATAATTTTCTTTTAATTAAATCATTTTTTTGCATATTATTATAATATTTTTGAGGATAGAATATTATAAATAATAAAAGCATATATTATAGTATTCGGTGTAATTTTATTAAAAAATGCATCAACAGCATATATTTTAAAGGAAATATTTCTGTTTTTTAAACAGATAATAAAATAATTTCTATCGAATTAATTTTTAAGATTAATAATTATTACTTTTTGAAATCTTAATAATCATGCATTTCTGCTATCGAATTAATTTTTAAGATTAATAATATTACTTTTTGAAATCTTAATAATCATGCATTAGATATTCAGTTTTTTAAATATTCAATATTTTTTGTTTTTAATTATTTATGAAAGATATTAAATATTTTCACTGTCAAACTAAGATTTTTTGGAAAATCATAAAAAAGAAATATAAATAAATAAATAGATATGTTTAAAATTTCGAAATTTTTTTTTTTTTTAATCTTCACTTTTTTAAAGATTCTATCATAGCCTAATTTTTTTTTTTTTTTTTTATAAGTTCTTAGTTTGACAATGATAAAATATGAAAAAAAATTCTGTTACTATATGATATTTATATATTGTATAACAATTGCAACAAATGCGCTAATAATTATAAACAAAGAATAAAACTTCAATTCCTATTAATGCAACGGATTCGTATATATCGAAAGAAAAACATATCAAATGTTTTTTTAATACGATCGATCCGTAATCAGTCACTTTGTACGAGTATCTGAACAATTGATCCAACAGTCTCATTGATTTGAAGCGTGCTGCTTTAAACGGAAGGATGTGCAAAAATTTGTATTTCCTCTAATATATTTAATTAAAGTGCAAATTCAGTTTAAAACTATTTCATTATGTTCAAAAAATGTTCATAATAAATGTTTAATGTTCAATATAAAACAATTCTATTGAAAGAGAATATATTAAATATAAACAATCGTGAATATAATCATATTAATATTAATCACTAAATCATATATACTTCATTAATAAAAAATTGTTATTAACGGTGATAAATAAATAAGGAATTAAAACGATATACCTATCAGTTAATTAAATATGTCATAAATACTAATATTTACTAATAATATTTCAATAATTTCAATAATTTAATATATGTATTAATATAACTTCATAATCACTTATATTCACAAAATATAACTGCAATTAATATCTATTGACAAATAAATGTGATCATATTCACGATAAATTATTTTTTTTTGGAATAAAATAGAATAGAGGTTAACTTTACATTGATAAATGATAAATCACATGTTTGCACTTTAAATTATTATTTCGAGGAAAGGAATATTGAATAATTGTAATAACATAAAATACAAGTACGTAAAAAGTAAGATCTAATAAGTAATCATTGCAAAAATAACGAAAAGGAAGACAACGAGATAATGAGGTGTATGAATATAAGTCGCAGTTCCCCATCCACACTCAATATCTGTTTTCAATGCTTCTAATACCGACATATTATTCTTATTTAAGCAAAATGATTCGCGTAAATCATCATCCCAACCATTGTCCCAGCAATCGAATTCATCATCTTCTTCATCTCGTTCGATATTTTTAAATTCACTATAAGTAGTGCAACGATCCTCTTGATATTGTCTATGTTTTCTTTGCCAGGTTTCCATCCATCTATAAAAAATATTTTTTCTCGAAAACTTAAAAATAGTATTAGAAATATTAAAAATAAGTAATTAGAACGAAGAAAAGTTTATTTTATTAATTGATATTATAATATTGATAACTATGTATATATAATAATTACTAAGAAATAATATATATATATATATATATTACATACATATACATAATTATATACATAAATTAATAACAGAGTTAATGACTTACCCAATATCGCAGTCACAAGTAAAGTAGCTTCCTCTCACCGTGAGTTTTAACAGAAATCGTTTTCCTGGCACGCCTGGCTTGTATCCATTAGATGGATTATGAAGCGTTCGCACGTCATTGTGGCGAAGATGAACCGTCACATTCCTCACCCATTCTGCATTATCAAACATTTGTTTGGGAACGGTGTTCACACTTGTATTGTACATTCCAAAATGCAAGTGTGGATTTCTTATACCCTAAGATAGATATGAAAATCAATTTTTTTAATTAATTGATTATAATTCTTAACTTAATAATTATATTGAGTTAATAATTAATAATTTAATACAATATTTTTAAATTTGTCTTTTGTCTTTTTGTTCAGTAAAGAATATATTTAATAATAAAAAATCAGTTAGATACATACTCGCAATATATCCGAATCTACATTCTTTAATGCTCGACCTGTCAACGTAATATTAAATAATTTATTAGGAAACTTCCCTTTCATTTCTTTTTCCAAATTCGTGTCATTTTGTACCTATAATAATATATAAAAATTTTTAATCGATGCTAATAATTAATACTTTATAAAAAGATTTTAAAATAGCAAAAAATATATATTCTTATTATAATATTTTACACATACGTCGATAACTAAATGCCTTAAACCGTGATTGTATTCAAGAATGTTGGGAAAATTGAAATTCTTTACACCATTGTAAGCAGTTATATATAACTTACGAAGTTTTGTAGCTTTACAAAGTGCTCCGCTCTATTTGAAAAAAAATTTGATTTCAATAGAAGAAAATATAATATATTTTAATTTTATAATTTAACTTTATCATTCTATCATTTTAAATTTAAATTTATTCGATGTAAAAAACTTACTTCGAATGTCAATAAAGATAATCGTCTTATATCCAATTCCTCAAGGCTGTCTGCAATACCTAAGAAACTAGTATTAGTAATAGCTGTGATTGGATTATCGGCCAAATTAAAAGTTTTTAATTCAGGTAGAGTATGCGTGATCAATGGCACCACAGTTAGATCGTTGGCACTCAGATCTAAATAGTGAAGAGATGTTAAGTTCGATGCCATTTCCGGTGGTATCGATGCCAATTCATTGTGTGCCAAATACAACGTTTGCAATCGTCTTAATGGCAATTCTGGCACCTTTAAAAAATATAGATATTCTTTTCAATTACGATTCTTTTTAAATTCAAATTATTTTCAGTGAATATGTTTATATAATATATAATAAAGATATAATAAATATATATTTAAATAATACGTACACTTAAAAGCGAAATATTGCTTAAATCAAGATATAAAAGTGAGTCCTCTAAACCATGAAATGTTCTTCCACGTGATTCCAAAAGTAATTGTTTATTGTGACTCAAGTCTAAATGAGTTAAATATGATAAATCAGAGAATATCCCATCGTCGAGCCTGACCAATCGATTATAAGATAAATCTAACCATGTCAAACTCTGAAATGAACAAAAATTCGAATTGTTTTTTTATGTTTTGACACGTGAAGAATTAATTTTAAAGAAATGCAAATATCACTTTTATACATTTATAATAATGACTATTTCTTCTTAAGAAAATATAAAGTTTAACGATTAAATTTTTCTAAGTTATACATATACAGGATACTAATATATTCATGAGACTCTTCAGAGAATCGACTCTAAATTCTAGAAGTTAAAACGAATACAAAAGTTGATACAAAAATATTTATTTATTAAATTATAAGCAAATTTAAGTTTGCATTGGATGGAAACTAGACAAAGATAAAACAAAATGTCTATAGAGCTATCTCATTCTATTTTCGTCTTCATCTAATTTCAATAGTTAATAAATAAGTCTCTCGTTTGTATCAATTTTTTTGTTTACTTTGACTTTTAGAATCAATTCTCCGAAGATATTCCACAAATATATTAGCACTTTATACTTTTCAAGAAAACAAGTACAAGATAATAAAATTATTTAAAAGTTAATTTATAATGAATTTATAAGTATGAAATCGAATTTATTCATTTGACTTTTTGCTCATGAATTAAATTTTATTTCTAGAATATATCAAACTGACTCGTAATCTAAATATGGCATCAGTAGTATGGATTCCCGAGAGAGTGTTCCAAGACAAATCCAACATGGATAAACTGGCAGCCGCTGAGATAGACATGGTTTTTGTGGGTAATCTCATAAATTGATTATGAGACAGATCCAAACTCTCGATATTAGCTTCGGAAAACATATTATCCGGCAATGTTCTCAGCTTATTATGAGAAAGATCAATAATCCTTAGCTTCTTCAACGGTCTAAATGCCTCTGCTGGAATGTCCATGATATTGTTCCAAGAAAGAAAGAGCACTTGGATATTTTTCGTGTTTCTGAAGCAATCGAAGTCGATCTCCATCAGCTCGTTGTGACTAATGTCGAGCCATTGCAAGTGTGGCATATTTCCGAAGACACCTTGAGTTATGTTGGTCAATTGGTTATGAGCCAAATAGAGATGTGTTAACGAGAATTCCACTGGTTTAAAATAATACTTCATTATATCGGATATATTGTTGTAGCTGAGGTCGAGAACTTTGATGTTCGATTGAATTGTTCCGCCGACTGCAAAGAAAATTATATACTTATTTAAAATTCTAACTGTATGTAAGTCTTGAGTTCTAATCCATACGTATGTTTGATATTTGCGTATACTACTGATTCGATGCAAGATTTATAATTAAAAAACACAATTCGTTCCGATTTTTAACATTTATAAAATTTAAAAAAAATTCGTTTAAACATGATTTGTTCAAAGAAATTCCACGATAAACTTACTGGTGGTCGGTGGCGTGAATGTGGTACTATTAATCCATAATTTTGGGATTTCGTTATGGCTGGCGTTCACTTTGAACGACGACAATGTTCCTACTTGATCGAACGAAGCGAAATCGAACTCGGTCAGATCGTTATACGCGAGATCGAGATATTCCAGATCAGGTAAATTCTTCAATTTAAATAATTACAATTTTACCTGATTATTCGATATTACCGTAAAATGTTACATGAAGTAAGTTCAATGAATTTCAATAATATTACCTGGAAGGCTTCATCCGTGATATCCTTTATTTTGTTGCCTCGCAAATTAACAT